TATATGTATGTGTATGTATGTATATATATTGATTCATATCTGAGGAGGACTGCATATTGAATTTGTTTTTTCCAAGTAAAGACACAAACATACAGAAAGTCAATTGACAACTGCACTTATTTTGTGTTCAATCCATGTGTCAGTTTCCTACAAACTCACAGAAACTGGACTACAAGCTACAATGGTCTTCTGATACCTCAGTACACTAAATATGTCAAAGTACAGATTCAAACTGCTTGTACAAAGTGAATGAAAGTGTTCAGCATACAGTATTCTAATGCTGTGATTTCAGTGTTTTCTGTGTTCATATTTAAAGAGTAAATGAGTAAAGGTGTTAGTTACTAAACAACATTAAACAACTAAATCTTCCTATTTTAACATGTCAAGGAGCTGTGGAGTGCTCTTCCTCTTAATATGAATAGAAATAATTCCTGGCTTAAATGTAGTTCAGGTACGAAATTAATTATTTCAGCAAAACCAAAACACAAACTGATGATCCTCTATAAAGAGTTACAACAGCAGCCCAATAAGCCTTTTTCCCCACAAAAAGTCAGTTTGAATTGTCACAGTAAAAACACAGGTGTAAATAATACAATTAATTAATTAATTAATGCCATTTATCTGCTTCAGTTTCATTGTGCATGTTGGCTCACTGTCACACTGTTGGGACACTTGAACAGAAATAAGTCATCAGTAATGTTGTTAGTAACACCTGTGCTTTTCAGACAAAATGTCTGCTGTGAAAAAGGCTAATTCAAAATCAACTAGTTACACAAGTGCAGCAGTTTTCAAAACATTCTTCTACTCCTGAGAGTAAAAGAAACCAAACCAATAAGCTTAAACTGTTGATTGTCAGTTATAGTAACATTTTAGAAAACGGTAACATTAAAAGCCCTCTAGTTATCTGCACCACTGGTTTGTAAAGTGAGAATCTGATCTGGTTGTTAACCATGACAGCAGAACAGACCTCTTTTCACAGGAGACATTGAGGCTCGTCATAGCAGGAAAATCAGCAGGTGTAAATGACAACAAAGAATTGTAATACACTGAGGCGAGGTGGTACCAGGGTCATGGTGTCGTGCTCACTGATGAGGTTTACTGGGACACGTGATGAAACTGAGCCGTTATTAACAACATTTGTTTACAAGTCAAAATGTCTCCTGTCTCTCATTTTTGAGCATCTAGGCTTTGAAAAGAATCGCAAAACTATTAATAATGCAAAGTTTGGCAAGCATTTCCTCACTAATGTAAATGCCAATGCATTATGTTAACATAGAGGTTAGTCTTTCAATTGTAGTTTCCAGTGAAGAGAATTCAAGGACTTTTAACAATTTGTACATTTTAGGTTTACATCGTAGGTGTCTAAGCCCCATGTTTTTAAATTTAGTTATTTTTTATACCGGAAACTTCACCTTTTATGACTTTGGTTAAAAAAAAAAAAGAGGTACTCGCTCATTTAGCTTAGCTTAGCATTACTAACAGTTAGCTAATGACCAGTTTCCAAACTAAAACTTTGACACTTTGACAACCTGAAAGGACCCAAAAGTGACAAAGAAAAAGGGTTAAAATACCTACTAATCTGATATTTCACAAAAACATATGAATTAATTTGTCATTTTGAACGTAGGAACACAATGTGCTATGAGTAGAAACTGTCCTTTTCTAACGTCGATGGCTGACTCTGTATACTTGGTTTGATCCATGACCCAGCCAGGTCATCTGCAGGCTACCATAACCTTGACCTTTGGGCAAAGCAAGCAGGTCAAATATTTTACTCCATCATGTTTGTTTTACAAAGCCTTCCTCTCCCCACAGTGATTCCAGCTGGGCTCGAGCACAGTTTTTGTGACGCATTCAAAAGAGGAAATAAGCTGAAAGGCCGTTGGGGTGAGACCATGTCAGCTTGGCCTTTAGGGCTTTTGTTGTAGAGAAAAAGACCCAGAGGATCAGGGAGAAGCAGAGTTTGACTCTTTCTCTGCTTGTTGTGAATTGTTTTATTTTGGTACGCTTGCCTGTGTTTTTCATCTTTTCCTTTTTTTTGGTTCAAGAATAATATTGCACACTGCTGTGTGCTCAGAGGGCAGAGATTTATTGGCAAAGACACCAGAGCTGACCTCTGATATCTGTTGTGAAGATCTGACGCAAATGATCACTTGGTAAATATTTGGTGTTGCTTAACTTGGATGAGTGGCCTACATAATTCAACGTAGATGTATGTATGTACGCTATAACTCTGGGATTTCTGACTAGATTAATGATTCACAGATGGTTTTGCTTTAAGTTTGATTTCATCCATGCAAACTTATTCAATACATTAGAATTAACCGAGTACATTTAAATAAAAACCTAAACAAACAAACATAAAGCATCCTTTCAACAGGAGGCTAAATGATGAGTGAAAACCTTTAAAGGGACGTCGAAAATATTCAGAGGAACATCAAGTTATGATCCATTTCCATTTTGCAAGAAGTACAATCTTTTCTACTTTATCTTTTAACATAATTGTCTGTGCAAGAGCAATATCAGTTTTTAACTCATATGGAAAGAACAATGGAAAATAGTGCAAATGTGAAGAATATGTGAGTGGTGGAGGCTGATCAAAACCAAGCAGCTGTTTTTTCTCATGACTGAACTAAATATAGAGAGGTCATGACTGACATGTTCAAATAGAGTGCAATGGCGATGGTATTTAGGGTTACAAATACATGGCGGTTCAATAGACTTGCCAGTAAGATATATGTAGTCATTTTTTTCAAATCCACCTTTTGACGATATGGCTGGGATTGAAATGGATCATCTACAATTTTGACACGCTCTACCTGTGTTCCTACATGTAAACAGCCTTCAAAACCGTTTGCATATATGTACCTAGCAGTAACGGAAATGAAGGTTTTTGAGTCCAGCCTTCAACAGATCCCTGCTGCTTCATGCCTGTAGGCTTCAAATCACTCCTTTCTGTGTGGAGATTTACAATCAGTGTCTTTAACTAACACAACAAATGCATGTTCTCTTAACAGTGTGACTTTACGATTTACGCTGTTAATGAATGCAGCTTTACAAAAACGTGTTGGCTGCAGGTTTGTTTAAAACCATTTGTGCTTCCACAGAAGTGTAGCTGCTAGCTGCTTTGGCTGTGGCCCAAAACTTGGACTTTGATGTCAATATGGTGCACACTGAATTACCTATCACTGTTTATGCCAACAGTTCATCGTAGTATTTGCTATGTTTTAGAATTTGTAATGCAGATTGATGCTACATGATGCGACGCTGTCCTTTTCGTGGGGCTCATATCTCATCCACTGACAATTAGAACTGGTTTTCATTCATTTCACTGTAAACCTTTACTGTGAAAATGATTTCTGCTACAATCTACAGGCTGTGTGTGATGAAGTAGCACAGATTTTAGAATCTGGTCACTTGACACAAGCCTGTAGTCTCTGAAGTTGATTTTGATTATATAAATTAAATAAACACTGGCTGCCTAGAAGGTATGAAACAATATTTATAAATCCAAAACACAGCAGTGTACTTTCACTTTTTAAAATCTGCTCTGAAACCAACACCAATCATAAAGGATGCAAGACAAATATTGTAGGGCAACATCAAATCTGATAACTGACTTATACATCAGTATAGTAGCCTGTATTGCATCCTCACTAGATAGATTAACAAAGATGTGGAGGGAGAGAAACGGCTAGGACATGCAGCATGACATAAATGCCATCCTTCTTTTTCTCTATGAATTCTACAATTTTAGTCTTGTCTAGTTATCAATACGCATCCACATTCTTCTTTGGATCTTTTTTCTCTAGCATGAATTTGGCAGCCATCCTTAAAATAAGAATTAAGAATTAATTTATAAGATTAAAATAAGAATTAAGATTTGCAAAAATGTGAGCTTGAAGAAAAGTGATTCCCCTCCTGCCCGATGGACAGGTCTGAGGGTCCTTACCAGCCCCTCCTCCCCGGGTCGCAGTGAAGTAACTGCCAGGTCATTGCCGCTCTCATCAAAGGCGTTGATGTCAATTCCCCAGTTGGTGTGGGGCTGTTTGAACCAGTTCTGCAGCACGTGCTTAAAGTCAATACTTTGCCAGTGGCCGACCCTGGAGTTGAGCTCTATCTTCAGGGAGCGGATGCGGATGTGGCGGCTGCCCTGCTCCGTGACGGGCTTCAGCCGGAGGATCTGCAGATAGACAGTGGAGGTCTGCTGCAGCGGCCGCAGGTACACCCACAGCTGGGCCTTCAGCACCTTGGTGAACATCAGTTTGGGGCTGAACTTGAAGAAGCAGCAGCTTGGCTTCCCGTTCACCTGCACCAGGGGCTCCGCTGTGGAAAAGAGGACAGTTACATTTATAAAGGTATTGGATGTGCAGTTTATTGTATACATAACATGATCAATCATCATCATCCTTCACAAAGCGCTGAACACTGATCCCAGTGTGCTCAAGCAAGGGACTTCGTTTTCGACGATTAAATAAAGGCATATAAATGCCAAATATTATGCATAATATTCATGTTTTTATTTTGGTGCAGGTGGTTCTCTTTTCTGTCTGTTTGTGCAACATTGACTCCAAAACTATATCCGTATTCAGTCATTCACCAGAGGAACAAGCAATGACTCTCTTCATTCATGTATTGTTAATAACCACGATCATACTCAGCCACAAAACTGAGATGGATCCTGTCTGATAGAGCCAAGCGAGGACTAGAAGAAGATAAATGAGAATTTACTCCCAAAGAGGCACAAAGAATCCACAACATCTCTCAGCAGTTTCATCAGGAACTACCAGTAGCCCATACTTTTGTCACAGCTTCCAGAAATTCACACAGCAAATAGGAAAATTGTATTATTCAAGTGCAAACTTTTTCCTCTATGATGCTAACAAATACTATATTCTGCATGAAACGAGAGACAGTGGTAGGTACAAGTTAACACTTTACTCCTTTGTGTTTATGTTGTGCTATAATCCATCACCTAACATTTTAAGGTACATGTCCCTCGCCACCACTACTTTACTACATTATGAAAAATAAGATATTTAATTTTTAAAACAATTTCTTCAGAGTTAGTGTAATTCATTCGCACCTCACAAAGGGACAAACGCTATTTTGTAATAAAGTAGACATTATAAAAGGTGTAGTTAAGAGTGTGGTGATTCCTTGGCAGGTATTCTTTGACAGGAAAGTTGCGCATGTGTTCTGCACACTGACCTTAAAGGCAGACACTACCACAGATCTGCACTTCACTGAGAAGTGATAACAAGTTGGCAGACTTTTGTGTAACTCCAGCTCAGTAATACACTGTTGTTGTCAACATATGGGATATTGGTTGTTTTTTGCTCGGTGATCAATCTTAATTAGGATTTTAAAAACGAGATTGAGTCCAAGTAATTTACAGGAAAAACAAACACAATATTTGTCACAATTTGTAAGACCGGGGTTTCTTAACTGAATGTGAACACTGCTTAATTTGGTAAACAATCTCTGCCCAACTGCTCATTTTAGTTACATCTGCATGAATGCTGTCTGTTATCACATGTGCACATGGTCCTGTTGTTTGCTCCATTCAGTCAGGTTACATTTGGGATTACATCAAGGTTGATCTATTTGCATATTAAAACAAGGATCAGTAATGGTGGCCAGTGGCCAGATGGTAACCTTATATTCCCCTGGGTCAATCGTAATGAAATGGTCTACCGCTATATTACAAATAGCAAAATTAAAGCATCTCAAGTTTTTTAGTGGCTCATCCTTGCTGAAAATATATTTGGGGTGTGGATTAAGGGTTATGTCAAAGAACACAATCCAACTCCTAAAATAGGCAGATTTATTCCTGTCATGATCCTCGGCTCTGGTGTTTCTGTGATTTGCACCACATGTCAAATCTGCTCATGGTTCATTTACATAGACCTCCATCTGATATAATGACATCCATCCATTGCATTCATACATTCATTTCCATGTAAAACGTTCATCTATTAAGGGAAATTTATTCTGCATCAATCTGGCATAATAATGTGCCAACTGAATACAATAGAATATCTAATCTGCCCATTTTCTCTCAGCCTTTTTGACATATTACAACTCTAGATGTTGCAAATAAACTTCTGTCATTTAGCTTGGAGGGGAGTGTTGTTCTTCCTCTTTAGAAAAAAAAATAGAGGATAAAAAAGAAAAACTGTTTGGAACTGTCAATCATAGCTAAATCTGAGGTTGCTCAGGCAATCTGCAAATGCTTCCTGGGTCAAAAGGTTATTTGGCACCTCAGCCTAGTTAAGAAATGGGATCAGGGGTCAAAACCGTCAGCCTCTTTACACCTCAGTGGTGCTGGGGAGGGGCAGCCCTAATAGCCAGATTGAGTTTGAAGGTCAAGGTCGACCCCATGGCAATGGTAATGTCTTTCCTCACAACACACGTTTGTTTGTTTTAAACAGAGAATCATCTAAAATCTAAAAGACACAACAGCACTGAATCAGCCACAGTTTGTTTTTGTTTTGATTAGGGTGGAGATTCTCCAGCCAATAGTGAATTTGTTTATCAAACCTCAATTCGCCAGGAGAGAACACTGCACCAGGCTGTTTTCTTCTTTTTACACTAAACAAGTGTTGTAATTGAATTATGGGGATGCATTGAAGGATATGAATTCACCGAGGTACAGATGGACTATCCATTAGAACAGTCCAGGGCGAATCTTGAATAAGGGCCAAGCCAGGGACAGACGTGGTCCTTCAGCCTGTATTTCCAGGGACAGTCATTAGTGAGTGTAAATTATACAGTGTCTCACGCTGAGCAAACAATATGTCAATGTTCCTTTTGGTGGGTTGCTGGGGTCACAGCAATTAACGTGGTTGGTGTTGTGTTTGCTCATCAGCACAAAACTGGGAATGAATGATTCTGCAGTTTGCTTGGGGTTTACTTGTGATTACTACTTTTTGTTGTTTTTAATCGCTGCAGATGGGGACCGACACACACCAGCTCTTCCTTTGCAAACAGTTTGTATCGCTTTTGTTGAATCCTAGGAAGAAAACAAAGAAACACAGCAGAGCTGAAATGGTTCAGCTTCTCGAGCGGAGACCTTTTCTTGAGGAGTAATCTGAGAAGCGGGGCCCATATACTGTGATCCAGTAAGGACCTCCGTTATTAAACACACATGCACAACATATGAGCTACGTCATGTTAAACAATGACTGCATTGATAGGTGAAATCAATTTGTGCCTTTATAGATCCTGTAAGTGCGCAAGTAAGAGGCAAACCACAGAAGATGAATGCCTGCAGCTTAATTGCACCCCACGTCTTGGCAGTGTTCCACTTGTGCAAAATGAGCAAAGCTAGCTTGTAAAGACATTTAATGCCTCTACCTGAACTAACTTAGCTCCTGCTGCCATAACACATTATTGCTAAAAGAGCTCATAATTTTACTGCAACTGCAGGACTGTTTTTGTGGCTTAATTTCCGGAACAATTTGCTTAGTTATACTTCAGTTTTTCAACCCTGCAGTAAGGATATGAACTCTGATTTTGCATTCAGCACCACCTACTGGAGCAACGACAACACCTCTCTCCTCGGGCAAACTGTAGATGCAGATAGAAACTAGTCCTTATACAGAAATAACGCTTATGTTTATCAAAAAGTAAAGAACAAGTAAAGAACAAGTAAAGTTAAGTATGGACAGAGGCTGTTTTTCCAAAGGAAACAGGCTTGTTTGCTTTTCCTCCTCATGTTCCCAGCCTACTTCATTATTATAGCAGCTTATTTCCCTGTGGTATAATTGCAGCATATGCAGCGCATGAATTTTACTGCCAGCACACAGCAGGCCTGCAGGTGAGCCTATCAAACATCTGGCGGACTCCCTGGGTACCTGTGTCCCATAGTTAGCCCAGAGCCTATACGAGTATATTAGGGGGAGACATATGTATATAAGAGTTTATTCACCATGCCATCTGTCCATTTTAATATGACTGTAGCCTGTTTCAAAGTTAAATGTCCTTAATAATCAAATGCAGTAATGTTGAGCCAGTTAAACAGTGAAAAAACAGATGGAGAGGGAAAGTTAAGGTGCAGTTGTACAATGAATAGTTAACACATGTTACCGGTGAGGCTGCATTAATGTGGGCAGTATGGCAAAAAAGGTAAATGGACATTTATCAATCTTTGATTTCCATATAGAAGACATATAGAAAAAAATAGTTGGCAATCACAAAGATTTCTATGCTGCTGTTTCTCGCACTTCCCCGCACTTTCAACTTTAGCAACAAAGAGCAACCTCACAATACTTACTGCAATTACAAGACCCCCACCCAATGTTCATAACATGATAGAATGCATTAGAAAGCATAATAAATAAATCTAAGAGTTGAAAACTGGGAGCTGTTTCATATCTGTATATCAGATTTTTCAAGGCTCTTTGTCAAATGTCAGGCAGTAAAGTAAAAAATAAATGATGAATTTGTTTTACAGTGAATGGTAACAGGATTTTATATCCATTTTTAAAATAATTTATCACAAAATATTTCTAAATTCTAAAATTATCGACACACATCTAGCTCATATTTTAAAACAAATTCATTAGAGTTCACTTCTTTATCCAAGCTCTTGAAAGGTGGTCACGCTACATGTGCTGTAACATCAAATCAGGTGAAAATCTGGAGCTAAGATGAGGCAGCGAGAGAAACGGTCATCTATTGTTAATACCCAATGCAAAATGGTATAAACCAAGATAGGAGTTTCATTTGCATATATATATCTATATTTTCTTTTCTTAATGGCAAATGCAAATGTGCCATTTTGGGGTGAGTGTGTGTTTGGGAGCCCTCATGTTGAATAAATGTGACTCTAGGGTATCCCCACGCACCTCGGTATATTAATCATCGTGACACGTTCACGACCCTTCTAATAAGGCAGGGGCCACAGTGCACCCCCTCAAACATCCCACCCCACCCCAGCCCCACTCCCTCTTTGTCTCTCGGTCAGTCCCAAGGGACGGGAGAGGGTGGTGGGGGAGGCCTGGCTCGAGCTGGGGATGGAGATGAGGGGGGTGTGTGTGTGAAGTTAGACCCCCTCATTCAGAAGCCCTCCCTTGGGACAACGGCAGGCACAAGACTCCTATTAGGACTGAGCACAGTAGCCCCCCAGGAGCAACAAAAGACACCTCCTAAAGCTCCCTGTTCTAGCTCAGTGAACACACACATGGAAACACGCAACTACACATAAACACACGACATACACAAGCTCCAAACTGACTGTCTTCAGCAAACAGACTCATTGTCTTTAGTGTTGGGGTTATATGTGTTTCTATTGGGAGGGAAACGTCTGTGGGATATCTCCA